CTTTCCCTATTATCATAGGGTAGAGTTCAAAGTACTTGTACTGAGGCTGGCTGGGATGGAGTTAATTTTCTTCACAGCAGACCATAAGCTGCTGTGTTTTGAATTTCTGACTAAACCAGCATTGATACCACACGATTTTTTGGCTGTTGCTGAGCAGTGCTGGCTCATTGTCATGGCTTTCTGTTTTTTCAGCGTTGCCTGCATCCCCATAGGTTGGGGACGCACAAGAAGTCAGGAGAGAACACAGCCAGGACAGCTGACCCCAGCTGACCAAAATGCTCAGCCCAGGAGTTTCCTTACTTTTCTCTCCCTATTCTCTCCGTGGTCAGGGCAAGGGAGTAGGAAGGGAGAAAGCAGTGCAGAGCAGTGCTTAGGTGCCCACCAGGGCTAACCCACTACTGGACCACTGCACTTTAACCCTACATTTTCACACCTTATGGGCGTTTTTGCTGTTTTGGTTTGGGGATTTTTGTTTTGGGTTGTGTTTTTTTTTTTTTCTTTTTTTTAAAATGTTAACCCTAAGACTTCTAAATTTACAAATGCTTGCTACTGCCCTCAAAACATGATCTCTGTTCAAATCCAGCTTGACAATTTTCACCACAAAACAATTAGTAAATATACAGATAGACTATCAGTTGACATGATTGCTGCACTGGGAAATATCTGGACAGCCAGAAGAAAACTTTCCAAGTGTAAGTTGGTTAAATTGATTCATATATTTAAACACTAGCACTAACAAATCCTAGAAGTAGGATTTAAGCATCAGCTTGCAGGTGTGTCCTGGGTTCAGCTGGGATACGGTTAATTTTCACAAGCAGCTGGTTGGGCTGACCCCATCAGCCAATCAAATGGGATATTCTATACCACGTGATGTCATGCTCAGTATTTAAGTAGGGAGCTGGCTGAAGGAGAGGCTTTTGCTACTCATGAGCAAGACGAGCATTGGGTGGTGAGAACACTGCATGTTGTATATGCTCAATATTATTGATTGTTGTTTTCTTCTCCCTTTACCATTCTGTTAAACTGTTCTCATCCCAGCCCATAAGTTTTGCCTTTTTTCCTTCAGATTCTCCTCCCCATCCCACTGGGGAGGGGAGAGGAGTGAGAGAGTAACCGCGTGGCTCTTTTGTGGCAAATTGAGGCAAAACCACAACAAGGTGAAAGAAGCTTCTGAGCCAGGGGACTTGTATTTAAATGGTATTTCCCAGAAAATCGTAGGCTCTTTATTTTTTCAAAAAACAAATTTAAAAAATGTCACTGTCCTCTATTTTTCTGCTTTATAGATACAACTCTGTTAGGAGTGGGGGATTTATATAGCAAGACTAATGAGCAGTCAGTGAAAAATACAGGCTCCTTCAGTAAACTGTGGTAAGAACAGGCAAGATCATTAGACATTAGCAGTCAAAGGTCTATTCAAGACCAGTTGTTTTTTTCAATAGCAGGTTGTTAGGACACACATATAGAACAAAACACTTGGTCCCTTCAGTTTCCCTTTGGTTCCTTCCTTAGGTTTCAGTCCAGGATTTGAATTAAAAACATTAATTTTTCAAACATCATCTTGTATAGCATGTTAAAAACCAACTCCAAGAGCTCAAGCAGAGGAAGAAGGAAATAGGGCTACTATCATTGCTTCAGTCAATATAACGAATACTCTAGGTTTTGGAAAAACATTCTTTTATCCTAGAAAATACTAATTTTTACCACTAGCTCTTGCAAAGTACTTCTAAATTTGGTTGTAGGTAAACAAGCTGATGACTAACATCACCTCTGGGACATAAAAGGTGAATTAGACTAGTGCATAAATGTAAACTTAAATTTAATACTGCAAAACAATAGTACAATAAGGAGAAAAAGCAGAGCAACAACCACAGAATCACAGAATGGCAGGGGTTGGAAGGGACCTCTATGGGTCACGTAGTCCACCCCCCTGCCAAAGCAGGGTCACCTACAGCAGGCTGCACAGGACCTTGTCCAGGCGGGTCTTGAATATCTCCAGATAAGGAGGCTCCACAACCTCCCTCACCTTAGGTACAAAAAGCTCAAAGATATCAATTTCTTTCCTGTTATTCTCAAAACAATAGAAACAGTCTTAAAACAGTACTACAAAATCAGCACAGAAACTTGAAACTAATACTAATTTTTTTCCCAGCATAATGAAATTTGAAATGACTAAACAAAGAACAAATTGTGAAATTAATCTCTTTTGTTAGAGGAGTTGTTCAGATGCTTACAGCTTAATTTGATCTTAAGTTAAAAGAACAGGCTATTAAAAAATCATTCCTATTACAAAACTAAATAAATTACAAAAACTCAGAACAAAACCAATTATGCGTTATGGTAACCTATGTGAGCTCTATAAAACAGCTAATAACTTCCCTTTCATTTTGGACCTAGCCTGAGTGTGGTGTAGTCAAACAAATGTATTTGTGGGAGGAAGGGAATAAATTGTCACATTCATGGCATTATTGAAGGAATGGGTCTAGAGAACACTTAGAGAGCATAAAGACTATAGTTGCCACAGCAGAAGCAAATTCTAGACCAGATTAATTTTCACGAAAAAATATTTATCTGTTTCTTACTTGATAGGTACAATGCTGGGTTACATGGACCATCCTATTTGATCTGATTTGGCAATTCTTACTCTTGCATCCCTATTTTTCAAAGTATTTTCTTCTTCTGAGCTTTAGGATTCTGCTTCCGACAGTGGGTAAAAACAAATTCTTAGTCCTGATTGCAAGAATACACCAACAACTAATGATTCTTCACAATCACATTTTCTACCTTTCTGGCAGTCTCTAACTTCAGAAGAGCTAGGGGCTTCTTGAACCAGAGCTGGCACAGCTACGCTCTTGATGGATTTTTCCTGTCATAATGATTTTTTCTCAACTCTAAATCCCTGAAAAAATTCCACGTCCACAAAGTTTTGCAGCAGAGGATTCCATAGCTTAAATGTGCATACATGAAGTATTTCTCTTCACTTCTTTCGAACCTACTATGTACCAGCATCATTTGATGCTCCTAGCTGTTACAACAGAAGAAACAGCGAACAATCTATGTCCAATTCTTCAGATTTGTCACCTGGGCCAATGAGATAGCAAAAATCTAAAAGTCACTTATTTAAACATCTTACTATAAGCACATATACAGCTAGACATGTCATCAATGAACTGCAGCTGTTTCCCTGATGAGGTGATGATTGTGCTTTGAAGCATCTAAGTTCACTCATCCAAGGAACTCTCCTTTTTACTGTGCAGTACTGTGCTTGCACCCTGTATATGGTCTGAAAAGGCTTGTTTTCCTCCAAGGCATTAGCATTTTATTTCTTATGTTCTAATACTTCTAAAATTAAGCTACCATGCTGCAGAATTATAGTACCTTTCAATTCAAATCTAATTAAGTGAAATATCAACAGAAGCCATGCTAAGAGCATTCGAGAGGAGTGTGACACAGAAGTTAATTTCCTACCTAAAGCATTAAAAGTTGCTATGTGTTCCCACATGTTCTCTGGTTGGTCAGAGTGGGGCTGCCAGAGGAGAGCATCAACATCATGCCTCAGGCAGAAGCACGGCATCTCTCTGGGATCCACAACAACTGAGAAAAGATACTGGTTGCTTCCAAGATTAATCTGAAAACAAAACCAAGAAATACAAAATATTGATTCAAAGCATAACTAGCAGACTGTGTCACACATACTACTGAAGTTAAACAATCAACAGCTTCATGTTTATTAGCTGATAAAATGTTTGAATACATTATGCTGCATCCCACTGATCAACAGCTCAATACACTGCAGGTAGCTAATACATTTCAAGCATACGCAATTAAGTTTCTTGGGATAATATCTAGGGAAACATTCTGTCCACTACACCAGCAAATGGGAATGTGCTTTGTGTAGAAACGGTTGTCTAGGATAGAGGATCTTAACCTACAACTTTTGATCTTAGTAAAAGATTCTCTCTAAGTATTCACATCTGGTTTTCTGCAGTGCCAACAGGAAAGGAAATACTGTTCCTGTGCGGTAAAATTGGCAAGCACTGGAACAAGGAACAGTTAAGATACTAAAATTATGATTTGTCAACAATTTTTATTTACTCACAATCAAATAATTACTAAATTTCAGATTAGCACACTCTTCATCAAATATATCTAGATCACCAAAAACATTCAATAACCACTTCTATTCACCAGGAACGACCAATTACATAAGAAAGACAAGACAGGCATACCCTGCTACCTGAATAAACAGTAGTAAAACTAAACAATAAAACAGCACATATTTTGATTTTTCTCAGTAAAGCATTCTAAAGGAAGTTAATAGCAACACTTTTAATGTGGCACTATGACTAGCAAATGCTCAAAGGGGAAAGAACAATATCTTCCCTTAAGGTCTATCGAGAAAGAAAGCTCAGAAATTCCTGTTTGTACTCAGAGCTGATCTACATTGTTCATGTTACCAGATGAACAAACACTTCTGAACTATTTTTTATATCCAGAAGCTACATCTGCAACAGCAACATGTAGGATTACACTCTAATACATGGTACAATACATTACTCCTCAGTGAGCTCAGTCGTCAGACACTGACACTTGTTGAGTAATGGTTCTCAAACAGTTGTCACAGCACTCTCTTTATTACATGTATTGTGGCAATAACTGTGAACTGGAAGCCTTTTATGCTATCATTCTACAAATGTCACAGGATGAAGGCTCTGTCTTGAAGACCTTAATTTACACTTAATATAAGATCCAGTGGACAGAATCAACAGCTGTTGAGACCCAGAAATTTGTTTACTCGAGGTTATACAGTCTATAGCAGAACTAATATAATTATCACAATTTATTAAGTCTAATGGCTCAACTTCAAAACAGCCTTCCACTACTACGCTGTTCAACAGCCATACAATTCTTCAGTTGTATTAAAACTACAACAGAGGTGAAATAATCCTCAGTCCCAATTAGGGCCAGATGCAATCATGAAATCAGGGCTACTAATTTTTTAAGCAACTCAAAGGCAAAGAAACATTAATAAAGACAATGTCACAAACTCCACTGCTAAGGTGCCTTAAAGAGAGAACAGGAGGCAGGTGTTATACTGGTGCAGCTGTGTGCCACAGTGGGTCCACTGGAGCTGTCTGGAACCAGCAGTGTCTGCCACAGTGCGGCCCCAGCCTCTTCTTGCAGAGGGCAGCCCTGCAGCCCCCCTGCTGCCAGCCCTTGGGTACAAACACCCAATACAGCTCCACAAGCTGAGGCACCAGGGATAAGTGTCTCCTCTTTCTTAGTGTTGTATCTCAACCAACAGCAGCGAAGCATCTTTGAGGTGGACAACACGGAACAGTCTTCTCATCCACAGCTCACTTCATTATGCATCAGTGCTTGAGCCAAGGGAAAGGGTCAGACTCAGGAATCAACTCCTATGAAATTTCTTTGAGCCGAGAAAGTAGTTTCACTGAGAATCAAGAAAACTCCCCAAATGTTCATGACACCACAGTAAAATGCCAACATTAGCATAAAAGTAGCTTTGAAGTCACGAGCAATCACTATTTTCAGCCAAAGGTACAATAGTATGTTACCTACATATGACAAGAATAAAGCCTTATAGCACACAGCACTGAGTAATTTGTAAACGTCTTTCAACAGCAGCTACATAGTTTTACGAGACAAGCACTTAATATTTCGTAAATCCCTTTTCAAGTAAAGCACATGACAAAATTCTAAAAATACATTCTTTTAGAAGTACCATGTCAAAAATGTGATAGTTTTACAAACATCGTGTTTTTGGTTTCAATAAAAATAAACATCTGTAGTTAAGCAAAAAACCCCACCAAAATATCCAACATGCAATTTAAATCTACACCCCCTAACAATAACATTATTACATACATGATAAGTACAAGTGTCATGTTATTAGCTATCATTAATTTTTTACATCACAAACAGTTTTGAACAGACTAAAAGAATTAAGTTTTTTTTCCAGGTTTCAGTAAGGTTGTGGAATATGTTGAAAAATATTTTACATGTACAGCACCTCAGCAAAGTAATTCTGAACTTTGATTAGTTTTTCACCCCAGAAATAATTTATAGTGTTTTGAAAAACCAAATAAATGCTATTTAAGTTGGGTTAGTTGCCTATTTTACATGCAACTGGGATACAGATCACACTTGGACAAGACAGCCCAAATGCAAAAAAAGTTTTGAGAGTGTTGTCAGAACATGAGAAACTCAACTGCAATAAAAAAAACCCCAAAACATTCAAACCTGAATCAGTTATTCAGGTAAAGCATTCAGAACCAGAAAACCTTGCCTCTTCTCTTGTCTATCACCCCTAGAGCATCTCCACTCCAACAGACACACGCAAATACATGACATGCCTCCCACACTCCTGTAGCTCAGATGCAAGCATGACGTATTTCACAGACTGACACGCAGTTTTAGTTAACAGAGGTCATTCTGGCACCTACTGAGAAGGCAGGCTCATGCTTCCATGTAGGCATACGAGCAAGGAAAGAGCGACCTTATATGGCAGCTAGTAGAAAGTGAATATTAGTTCTTCTGTTGTGTTTCCATAATCCACCAATCAACCAGAAAAGCCTCCTGCCACAAATCAACTGCTGTCTGAAATTACCTACTGCGATTGACTATTCACAGACCCACATTTACATAGTCCATTTCCTATTTTGTCCTTGCTCCACAAATCACTGGGAATACTCTCTTCTTTTGTACCTAAAAAACAAGCAACATCTCTTCCCTTAAGACATCCCAGTTTTGCTAAGGATTGGGACACCTGGGTTTCCTCACTGCAAGCACACGGCACCACTTTGTACTTCAGGCATCTTTCAGCATTTTTTCAACTACTAGTTTCTGTACATTTTGTCATGCACCTGCCTGCAACTGGTTTTAACAGGATGTATAATACAGAACTCAACCATATGGTAATATACACGCTAATCTACATAGCACAGAAGGCAAACTTCATGTTGTAAATGCTACTGCAAGCAGATCAAAAAACAAGGTAGCATTTTTTAAGTAGCCCATACTTCACCTCATAAAGCCCTCCACAGTAAAAAAAAAATGTTGTCCATCACGCATCTCTAGTTTCCGATGGTTTGGAAACACAACATACTGAAGTTTAGGCCACTGTTAACCTAACTTAAATAATTTATATTAATAAAACAAATATTTCTCTGTAGGAGAAACTGAATAACTGCATTTGAGCTGAAGGAGACAAATGTAATTTTGCCACCCAAGAACAGACCAGTATAGCAATATATTTGACAAAGATTGCTGGCTGTCAAACCTATTTATTTCAGCTAGATCATTGCCAGTGAAATGCACTAGAAAATGTCAAGAAAAATAGAATCAAGTCTCTTTACAGAACAGATATCATTACATCATCAATGTTCTATAGACTTAAACTATACTTCAAGTGGAAAATGTTCCTGTATAAATATTTCACGGTCTTAAATTCTGTAAGATTCTGGACACGTTTCACAAAATTCTCTCCAACTTAAGAGCAAAAAGACATATACAACTGTACACTACTGATGATGGTTTACGACAAAAATGAAAAGCTGTATCAGCCACACTTCCAAAGGAACAGGCCCCCAAGTTGCTAACTAAAAAAAATCCCAAATAATCTGAAAGAACAAAATCAAAGTGAAAACATATTCCTGTTATGGTGAAAAATCTACTGAAATACTCATGTTTCTATGCCCTCCAACAAGGAACAAAATCACAAGATCACATTGTTGAGGTTGCAAGGGACTTCTGGAGATCTTCTAGTCCAATCCTCCCTGCCCAAAGCAGGGTCAGCTAGAGCAGGTTATACATGTATGAACATTTCCTACCCACCATAAATGTCCTTTGACCACAATGCTTTAAACACATTAGCTTTTGGATTACTTTTATGCTACTCATTTTTAAGAGCTCTTTACAAACACCCTGGAGTTCAAATTCGCTCCACAATGTCTTGCTGCCTGCTAGAAAGCAGCATACATCAGATCTGCCTTTCTTGATCCCATGATATCATGTTCCTCCTCGTCTGTGAAATGTCTCTGGGGCACAAACTTCTTATCCTTCAGGGCAAGAAGCAGTAGTTTTTGTTAAGTTATTCAGAACTTTATCCAGTCCGGTCTCGAAAACCTCAAGGACAGAGGCTGCATAACCTTACTTGGCAACCAATCCATGCTACAATCCTGGTATAGAAGTTTTTTCTTCCATCCAGTTTGAACCTCTTGTTTCTATGTATGCCTGATGTCTCTTCTTTCTTACCATGCATCACTGAACAGCTAAAATCCACTTGAACTGAGCTGCTTTAAAATGTCCTTCTACCAATTACTGATTTTATTTTTATTTTCTGATAAATATTACTTATCACACTCTATCCACAAAATGGACTACTTTCTTGGTGGAGCACGCTAGCCTTATTTTTTTCTTCAGCAGCACAAATACATGTACAGGCATATATATATACAGACACAGATATACATACGTATCTGTATTGCCAACGGAAAAAAGATAATGATATTTTTATTTCTAAAAAAAACGAACAAACCAAGATCTGTAAGACACGGACTTAAGACTTCTGAGCTTTTCTGAAGAAACGGGAAATTATGAACTGATGCAAAATCTTATCCTGTAACTATGACATTTTCTGTACAAAACAGGTTATCCAATACGTGCTTTGTGTGACACAAGGCAGCGATGAGGTGCAGCACCAACATTTATTACAAATATAGTAGAGACATCTGGAAAAAAACCCCAAGCCCCCAAAATCCCCAAGACAACTTAATCTGCGATGCTTTCATATGATCATTTTGTTTCCCGCTTTAGCCAATGGACCAGATAAAGCCCTAACTTCCTGTTAGCCAATGTTGCTTACAACCCAGATCAAACCTCCTAGTCAAGCATGTTGCTTACAACCTTATTTCCAGTGTAATTGACAAACAAGTATCATAAAGAGATCTGTTCTCCAGTACCTTCGTAAAAATGGTCAACTTTCTACCAGGCTACCCGAAAAATTACTGAGAAAAATGCAAAATAAAGAATCGAAAAGAACTGCGCACCACCAAGAGAGACCCCTTTCTTGTAATTATTCTGACCTAATTTTGCTTTCACAAATGGCTAACTTGTGGAAGTATATATATTTTTTAAATCAGAATAAAAGCAGCCTTGTTTTTACATTAAAATGACGCTAAAGAACACATACTGGTTGATGATTTCTTTCACTACCATGATTTTACATTATGCAATAAATTTATGTGGTTTCAAGAGTTTGCATAGGTTTTTGTTCTGATAATAAAATTCAACTTGCATATCATAAAAAAGTATTTTAAAATATTTCTGTAACAATTTGCAGCACTTACTACATGAGTGACTTTCAAGGTATCACCATCAAATCTGCACAAGCTTGCACTATCTTCAAGAAAAGCATCACATTCTTCTAATTCTTGAGCATTACAAGGTGGGTTTTCCTTTTCAGGGTTTGGATTCTGAAATAGACAGACAATGAAGTACACTGAAAATCCAAGCTACTGAATATACGTGTGTGTATATATATATATAAAAAATCCCTTTTCATCACAAAAAGGTTCAATAGAACAGGAAGAATCATTTGCATATCCTTACATACTTACAGGTCAAGCTACTATGTACTTATTCAAAACAAACAGAACCACTTCTGCTATGGATGACAGCATGAGTGGTAGGTACAACAAAACCATTTCAGTTTCAGGAAAGGTACGTAAGCCACTAAAACATGGACAATGAATTCCCTTCTGTAAGTAGCAAAAACATATACTCCTGAAAAATCTACGAAGGTTTAGTAAATTTACATCAATGTAAGCTTCTTTCAGATTGCCACTGGAAACGCTCTTCAAAAAAATGGGTTAATTTTGTAAGTAGGTCTAAATACATGCCTCCTTTTAGCTTTGCTAATAATGATTTAAAATTAATAATGTTGTTATACATATTTTTTCAATACACTCAAGAAAAAAGGACATGTATTTTTTAACATCCCACAAGTCAAAGAAAGGAAAAACGATCACTTTTACTACTAATTCGAGAGCAAGACAGAACACTACTCCATACAGAAACAGATTACTTCAGTTAATGACATCTTCCTTGCATAATTTTCAGAACAACCAAGCTACATTACCCTCGTGATATACTTAAAGAACCAGTATCATGGTAACAGAAAGAGACCTTGATTTAACAGATGGCAAAAAATACACACTTCCTCATTAAGTATGAATTAATGTTGCTCTTGCACAAAAAAGACACATCTTGACAACTAATACAAGCCAAAAGCTGAGGCCGAACAGAACATGTAAGGGAAGATTAGACAGGGCACTGACTCAATTCATCTGACAGGGAGGAGTTCTTGAGTTCCTGTGCTCATTTCTTCATCCATTTCAGCTGATGAAGGAGAAGTTGTATTTTGGTTCAGCACAGGAAGTGAAGGAGATCATCACAATTTTTTTTTTAATTGCTAAGACAATTAAGTACAAAGAAAACAAACATTAAGAGATAACAGAGAAACACCCTTAAATGACAGAAAATAGACAAATTAAGGGTCATTCACTGCAGGCTAATGCAGATGACCTACAACAGAGTATATTGCCTCTTTAGAGGCTAGTCTTTGGGGTTCACCTCTTCTCTATCAAGCATTGTTGATGGCCTCTGATTTAATGACTTGTTGAGTGGCTTTTAAAAAAACCTTCCAGGTAAACATCACTACCACAAGCAATTGAGATGACCCAAAAAAATCCATGCCTTTATTATACATATATCGTGAAAGCTGCAGTATAACAAAATACGTAACACTTATTTAAATGAATAGTTACCCAAGATTTTTTTTACATGATAGTTATTGCACACAAGCTGAAAAGTTGTGACAAAAAAATAAAATCATGACTTTAAGCACTATAAGCCCTAACCCTAGGTTGGAGTTACAAGAGAAAAGAAAAATGAAGTTCCCAATAAATCTATGGTCAAAAGATATACTACAACATCTTGCCCACAAATACTGAGCGAGAGAGGAGAGAAACCAATTTAGAGCACGAAGCACTTTTCAGCTTTATTAAAAAAAGTAATTATACAAAACTAATATATCAAGACCTATAGGGGCTCACACTTCACAAGTCTTAGATGAGATGCCATTTTCTAATTAAACCAAAAGGGGAAGTATCAAGCAAAGAGCAGTTAAAAATTACATTCTATTTTGTTTTAAGTAGACTTCCTGTATAACAATAATGCCAGAAAGTTCATGAGTCATGAATGATTATGCTTTCCTAAATTTTTCTTAAAAATGTCTTCTATACTCACAGTCTATACGCCAAGTACAGCATCCCTAGGAAGACAGTATAAAAGTGTTGCTAACCTATCGATAAACAAGAAACAGGTATCCTTCAAAATTACTTAAATCAAGTGCTTTCAAACAAACTGTCACATTGTAAGTGGTGAAAATAAAATTTATTTTCAGTGTTAAATCAGACTTCTGTTCTGGTGCACAGACGCTACCATGGAAGCTAAATTCAGTCCCCCATGAAGATGATATTACTGTTCAAATTATATTCACAATTTGTGCCATTAGTTTGTTAACAGTTTCAGTTATAAATGAATGTAGAGTTAGGATTCTGAATAGTAAATGAACTGATGTGCAAACGAAGCGCAAATTAGGGTATCAAGAAAATACAACACGCAAACGTACAAGAATTTTAGATGTTTTATTTTCAACTCCTTACCATTACTTCAGAGGTAAGATGCATCAGGCTTTCAGTTATTTCAGAGCACTGGGAAGAGTCCATTATGAATTCCCCTCTTGTGTCACCAACTATTAGCTCTGGCCACTGGGGTCCCTCATTTTTCTTAATTAGAGAAATTTCCAAACTAAAATGCAAATAGAAGACAAAGAGTAGTACATGAAAACACTGCATCCATTTCTCAGGTTAGTCAAAAAGCTCTACGTGTAGATTTGAGCACTTCTCTCCAAACTGAATTAATAATGAAAAATCACATAACAGAAATCACTAGCATTCAATTTATAAAATAAACTATTCTAATGGAAAAAATTCTAAAGAAAAATAGACCAAGGGCATGTGATCTCTAAAAGCCGAAGAACAAAGAGAATCTATTCATGTAAGTGTCCTCAGAGTTTTCAATGTAAATGCAGTTTCCCCTGAGGCAGCCTTATTAAAATGCCACAGGAGATCACCTGTAAAATCTATTCAAAGAGTGACAGAATTTTACTACAGAGGTTTATTTGAAATCTAAAAAGTACTTAATAGGGCTACTTCACTGTACACTACCTTTACAGAATCACAGAATCACAGAATAGTAGAGAAGGAGATTCCACAACCTCCCTGGGCAGCCTGTTCCAGTGCTCCGTCACCCTCAGAGGGAAGAAGTTCTTCCTCGTGTTCAGACGGAACTTCCTGTGCTTCAGTTTGTGCCCATTGCCCCTTGTCCTGTCACTGGGCACCACTGAAAAGAGCTTGGCCCCATCCTCCTGACACCCACCCTTCAGATATTTGTAGGCATTTATAAGGTCCCTCGCAGCCTTCTCTTCTTCAGGCTGAACAAGCCCAGTTCCCTCAACCTCTCCTCGTAGGGGAGATGCTCCAGTCCCCTCACCATCCTCGTAGCCCTCCGCTGGACTCTCTCCAGTAGCTCTTCATCTTTCATCTTTCTTTATATAATATCTAAGACAAAAATACTTGTATTTTATAGACCTCAGAAATACTACAACAGTTAATTATCTACATTGTGTATCTAAAATCATAATCAGAAGAGATACGGTTTCTGTAACCTGTAAAAAAACCCCCAAACTTAAAAGAACCTGGTATAACCATTAGGAATAACTAATTAAATAAAAACAAACCAAGAGACTTATCCCGATGTACCAACACAACAATTCCACTTAATTACTGTGTTAGACCAGCACATGGATATAACGATAAAATGAGAGCTAGTTCTATTATATTCACTTATTAGATACACTTCCAGTGTTTACAATGACAGTTTTTACCTGACAAAATAGGAAAACTTTCTAAGTTACTAACTACTGCATCATAGCAACAACTATTCGGTGAAGTCTCAATCAGGTTCCATACGGAAGGTATTTGGAGCAAGTTTGAGATTTAAAGTGGTACTGCAGTACCAACAGTAAGAACCAAGTGCGACTTACTACATTGAAATATGTAATTACTATTTCCCATTAAAACAGAAGTCTAACATTCATGCAATATTGCTCACTTGACTGAGTAATAAAAAATTTTAGTTATTTTTCACTATGATATCTAATAATCAATAACTGAAAAGTCACATTTTAGTATGCAGTATTAGCATAGCCTCTATACAAATATTAGTCCCTCTAATTCTTTTGGAGAATAACCATCTTTTACAGTTAATCTTTTGGAAAAAGACAAGATTTTTGATGAGGAAAATCAAAAGAGAATCGTGGAATCACAGAATATGTCAAGTTGGAAGGGACCCACAAGGATCAGAGTCCAACTCCCTGCTCCTCACAGGACTACCTAAAAACTAAATCATTTCTCAGAAGAAACTGAAAAAAATTTTAACTGGGAACGTCTGGCAGAAAATGTCATGCTAGTTTTCTTACTATATTCAAATTTCACAAGGTATATACACCTGTATACTTCACGTAGAAGTTCAAACAACGCATTAATAAAAAATATTGACATCGAGCTTGTCCAAGCACCCAGAAGTCAGTATTATCTCCACCATAACTTATTTCACTTTGTATTTTAAGCTATTATAATGGCAAGAATAACTACTGTCATATGTATTACATACAAAGTGATATGAAAAACTATCATAAGAGACAATATCTAAAATGTATAACACTGTTCCCCAGTTTCAACACTTCGGGAATGGTAGTGAAAACGTATGTATTTACAAGTTATCATTTAAAACCGTAATGACTTTTTAACTACTGCAAACATGGCCTCTAACAGGAAAAAAAAGGGAAGGAAAAAAAAAAAAGAAACCTCACAATACCATAACAGACACTGAAAACCAGCTGATTTAATTTTGTTCTTATTTAAGTATGGACACTCCTACTACTCTGAACTCCTTCTGTGATTATGCATTTATCATAATAGCTCTGATATTAACCAAGGCTACAATAACAACCAAATATATAGATGGCCAGCACTGATTACAACACTTTGCCTGTAGTTAAGAAGTATTTAGGTGCCTAGATTCACAGATATTACAAAGAGAATACTTGAAGAACCTGGACAGCTCTTCTCTTGCAGTAAGTATCAATATCCGATAGCTGTGGACTTACGCACAAATCCCTTCTTGAACATTTAAGAGACTAATACAAGATTTCTAAATAATGAAACCCACCCCTAGATTAAATAATAACACACTGAGTTACAGATTGTTGAAAAGTAGTTTTCAAAGTTCAGAGGTAGGATCACAAAGCTCTTTGAGCAGAAAATGTTTAGTCCGTTCCAGACCCACCTCCCTCAGGCAGACGAACAGAAACCCACCAGCGCAATCAACAAGAGAAGCTATAAAAATTCCAAGGCACTTTTACAGGCAATATGGACTTTGGGTACAAAGAGAACAAGATCATTAAAGTGTGGATCAACTACCTGTTTTTTGTAATGCACATACTGCATTTCATTCATGATAACTTAAGCCTTACTTAAACCATTTAGACAGTGCTTCAGTTCTAGCTGTTCTGACCAGGTAGCACAAGGGGAGGTACAACCGCAAAAGATGAGTGCAGCCTTTCAACCCCTCTTGTAAGTGAAAGGATCAAGAGGAGTATGTGTAGCAGTATTTAAGCGTTCAACAGCTCTCTCTGTTCACGTCCTACAAGGTAGGACAAAACGGTGCATGTAAGTGTTCACTGCACCTGTTAACTGCAACAAAGAAAGTGGTTTATACTACAAGCTTTTAGCTTCAAGTCTCAAATGGAAAACTCAGAAGGGTACATTTCCAACTATATAGGGATTTCACATACCCTTTTAGATGTGCAGAAACACATGTGAAAGTAAATCTGAATACTTCTGTCACTTTCCATATATGAGGCCTTTTTATTGATGCAAATACAAATGTTGTAGAAAATGTGCACCCACCAAAAAAGAAAATAAAACAATGGTTGAACACATCTTGTCACTGAGATCAGTTCACGGCTCTGAAGGGCCTTCTGGAGGCTCTAATAATGACAGAGTCTAAGCAGAATGCAAAATTAGATGTCCAGAATTAGGTTGCATTTCTCTACCAGAGAACTAAAATTCTAGAACAGGTTTTGAAATGGAAACAAAAAAAAAAGGTAAATTTGGCTATGGTTTAGGAAGGCCTGAATTTTTTTCCTCTCCATTCTTTCATGTTTTTATTTCAGAAAGAAAGAGACAACTAAAATTTACTTATCAAATAAAACCATGAACATTTCTATGAGGTCTACAGCATGTTAAATTCACACATACAACCATGAAAATTTCTATGAGGTCTACAGCATGTTAAATTCACACAGATTAATTTTATATCATGTACATAATGTACAATGGATTATGAAAATATAATAAGGAACTGTAAGTCAAACCTGAGGAATTTCTGTTATGTTCTTACCCAAAAAGCTTCTGTGTGTGGAAAGCCGAAGTAGAAGAGAAATTATTAACACAAACAACAAGGTAAATACAGGCTAATCAATCCTAAAATTTAGTTAAAAAAAAAAAAATTGTTGAACTAATTAAGTTTACTCTGCTTACAAAGCTATGTTTAACATTTTCATACCTGAGGTATTTTTCTGCCTATTTGGAAAAAAAAAAAAGTTTTTCTTCAGTACTTCAAAATATTACTGAATTTAGTTACTGAACTTATCACTAATTAGTTATAGTTACCACCACAACTATATGATACACTGTCTTTATGAAAATCATTCAACAGTTTACCTATTCACTTTTCCACTGTGATCAACTAGAAGTGAATGGACAAGTTTATAAAGACAATTAAAATTCAGGTAGCCATACAGACAGGTAGTCACACAGACATGCATGGGCTAATCTCCAGTAGCTGGTATCACCAAATACTGTTTTAGAAAGGCAACTGACCATTAGAACAGGACATTAACTCTGGCTGCAAATAAACACAGGCAAAGCTTGTGAAAATAGTACGAGGAGGCTAACATTATGAGCATCAATGTATCCCTAATGTTGCAAAGAACTTTGCTTGACAGCCCAGTAGTAGAAACTCAATTTCCTGGTCTGAGATACAGGTGTAACTGTCAGTACACACGGTTATACAGAATGCTTTTTTTCCAAAATGAAAGAATTTATTGTTTCAGAAGGGCTGTTCTATGTTGTTGTAGAAAATAGCTGGTCATGTAGCAAATAACTGTGAGAGGAGGGGATTAATTTCACAATTAGCTAAAGAAACAGTATTGTGAGACAGCATTGCAAAAGCCAGCAAACTATTTTCAGCAAAGGAGACAGACACCTGTAAGGAGGCATGCAGGGTGTAGCATTAGATAAGTCCATTCCCAGAGGGGCCAGAAGTCAGAGATATGGTATACACTTTGAAATCAATTCCTATCAATAGGAAAACTAAAAACCATATACAACACCTTTTATTCTCTCTAATTATCCATGTGCAGCTTTCATGGTCCACAGATGAAGCGAGTTTTCCTTCCATCAAAGGAGGCTGGTCTTTCAGTGTAACACGTATGCTATCAGGGGAAAAGCGTACTTTTATGTCATCCTTAGAGATGTCTTGAGGAATGTGAACTGTTATTGTCACATCATCTTCAGTCTGTTGCCAGTAATAGAGAGGGTCTACAATTGGAAACATACAGAAAAATACAAACTAGATTACAAATGCTGTCCTGGATTTCACAGCATGTAATGCTGGGACACATGGAACAGAAGTTTGTGGAAGAATGGAAACTAACCTTGAACAATTTACATAAAATTGATTATTAAGTGGAGAAATGTTTCAATCAAGTTCATTTGTGTCCCTCGTGGTGAGCAATTTATATTCATGTCTATACTCAAATGAGCTGACAGAGTCATACAATGGGCATTAACTATTAATCTAAATTTATTGGAGCATTAGTAAATTGATAACAAAAATGTACTCAAATACACCAAAACATTAATGATTAATAATTTGGTTGAAGAGACATCAGGTGCAGTGGTACTGACAAGCTACTGCATGCTCAGAATTATATGCCATTCAGAGACGTAAACAATTTTTCTTAACTATATTGCCAGAAGCTACACTGGCTATTCAACAGAAATTATTTCAGAAGACCAAGTAGTTGTCATCTGCCTCAGTTGATGGAGATGAAATAAAACTGTCTGCCCAGAGGTAATGTCTGACTTCTGCTCCTGGGTCTAGAATCTGCCTGGTGTCTACCTTGATTATTAAACCACTACAAGAAGTGCCCTTTTAAGATAAATGTTTATACAAAAGGAAGGCTATGACAGCATGACTGTGTAGTGCACAGTTGATCACAGACAACAGACTCCTCCATTTTCTAAAGAGCAATATTTGTATGTTACCATCCTATTTAGAGAAAAAGTAAAGTATGGATAGACCCATTGGCGCTCTCAAGTTGTCACAACACAAGACAAGTTTTCATTGATCTAAGCTTCATGTCAGCAAACGTGACTCTGGAAGGACTCTCACGCTGTTGCCCATTACCAAGAGCTTCCCGTTTGCAATGGATCAGTCACAGATACACTTCCCAGAAAATATCAGCTTCTGAGATACGACAGCCTTCAAAACTCTAAACTTTGACACATATTATATCTGATATTAAAAGTCTTAACTTGTAAGAAAACTGAATGACACCAAAAAAGCGGCTTAGACTTCCCCTCTCTCCCATCTTCAAGATAGCCTTCTCATAATGTTAAAACTGTGCAAAAAAGACTATGAAAGAACAACCCAGAAACCAAAACACCCATGTGCAACATAACTTCCTTCATATTTTTTGTGTGTTGTTGTAAACGCCTACAAAAATTAGAGTTCTATTGCCAGCACATCTTCTTTCATTATCTGGTATCTATTATGCCTGAAAATTCATATAACCATGCAACTAAAATTACAGCCCACGTTAGGTTTAGCTAAAGACAAATTCTCTCTTAAAGAGGTATTAGACTTCCCACTGAACTAGGAGTTCAGGTTTCAGTACTGTTTCTACCACTAGATTTTTGTGTCATGAGGAGTCTTCTAAAAGTCTTGCTGCAATCATTACTCCACACATTACAGATTTCTGGGCTTTAACACCACCATATGTGCACTTACATGCACAAAATGAGCTATGCTAATTGCCATACAGTGCTCTCTACCACGTTTCTTTATTCACGCCTAACACACACCTCCAGAATCTCTTAAAATCCTTAAAACACTGAACTAGCTAATTCGGGTGACAACTGCACAATCATTGCAATATGGTGCTCAGTGCACTGAAGAACTCCTTTGCCTCAAGATTTACATGTACAGATTATTCTTAATACAATCACAGGTACAATGTCACAATTATCAGTGTGTAACATTAATACATTCCAGAAAATTGATCTTTTTGTATTGATTCCCAAACATATTTTTGCACCATTGACAAAGATTGTGCTAGTGTCCTTCAATTAGGACTGCCTCATATTCAGAAGCAAAAATCAAATCTGAAGTAATACAACTACATAAACACACATATTACAGAGCTCAGTGATATTTAAGATGAAACAATTTTATTAATATATTTTTACAAACTTGATTTTGTTTTGATCTTAAAGAAAAAAAAGTATGGATGCCTTTTGTTGAAGTTTATTATTTATTCTGAACTGCTTTCCCACTGGAGAAATGATAATCTTCTACAGGATTCTAATTCTTCAAAAAGTTTTTTTTGGTGGGGTTTTTTTTTTTGTTTTTTTTTGGTTTTTTTTTTTTTTAGAAAAAGAAGAGTAAATTACATACCAGAGAGCTTTGTGATGAACAACCATCTGGGGGAGTCAATGGGTGCCATACAGCCCTCTCTCATCTACGAAGACTGGCTTCTTAATTTTAGTACCTCAGCCAGATGGCTAAATTTAGGTGTTACCTTAGCAATCCAACTGCTAGCAAATACTTAGTATAGTTGTGTTTGCAAAATATCCTTTTCCTTAGGACAACAAAGTTCGTTAAGTGTCTCCTATTCAAAAAAGCTTCACATATAGGTTTATGCATAATACAGCTTCCCAGGGTGAAAACAAACAAAAAAAGCCAATCTGTCCTTACACACACACAAAAAAAAAAAAAAAAAAAAAAAAAATCTGGAATTTTTTTTGTGTTTCAAAACAGATGCTAAACTGACAAGCTGTTTCCTAAGCCAAAAGAGAAAGCAGCCTATCAAAATCTGCCAGATAAGTCTTACCTTTCTTTTCATTTGTTGCTTTTGCATCGTCATTTTCTTCTAATTTGTCATCTTCATCTTGTACAAATTTGAACGGTTTGTAAGAAAGAATCATTAGACCATCCCCACTTGGCTCTATTGCTGCATAATGGGGGACTGATTTTCCTTGTAAAACTCTCCTTTTAAAGATTTCATATGTAGGATCACCTACGAAAAAAAAAAATCTTAGCAAAAGTATTTTTCTAGAAGACAAATTATTATACGAGAATCTCATTACACTTAAAAATACTCCGCAATCCTACGTTAAATCACAGTACCATAGTTTAAAAAGAAATTTCTCTTTTGTTTTCCAAATAGTTTGTTAAATCTGTAGACTCTAAAACTAATCTAATGTTGCCCTTTTTTCTTATGACATCTTTGTTGATCACAGCTAGCCCTGCAATTCATAAAACCACTCACAGCCTCCACACAAACAAGTTTTCCAAATATTTCTTGAGCTGCTGTAAAAACTGGAAAAGCAATGAAACAGCTAGTGGTAACACTTTATTCATAATGCAAAATGCCCAGCGTCCTCCACTGTTGTAAAACAATGCCCTTTACAAGGGAGGTCCCAGATGTTAGCGACTGGCGCCAAGGACCATGCCATTCCCTAACATGCTCCCAAACATGAGGACTGATGACTCAAAACACCAGTAGGTGAACAGGTTCTAGCACGTTTATTCTTTTTCCATTAGAATCCTTACTGCCCACAGTGTCCACAGTAATTGATCAACTTCCAAATAATAACAGATTGTATATATGGATTTTTAGCTAAAAACAAAACAACTGGATAAAATTCTCACAAGTGATAAAACTATCCCCAGGAATTGTTTAGCTTTTCACATTTATGCTTCATCTCTTAATTAAAAGAAATCACTGTGCTTGTAACTAAAACTTAACTTGAAAGAAACTAGGAACTAATTAGCAGAGACAGACAAGACCAGATTATGATGGTAAATATCATCTATGGCACTCTAGTACTCCAAAAAGTGTTCCTGTTTGACCTCAATGTTAAGCACAGAGAAACATCAAAGTCAGAGGAGAATACAGATAACAATGGATAAGCCAGGTATAATTTAAGCCCTCTCAGTTGGTTATCTTGTTTGCTAAGCAAGAAGTGTAGTAAAGAGTAATAACCAGACTATAATGTAATTCTGGTACTTAATGGTGTTAATTAAAGCATCCCTCTTTTTCCTAAAGTTTGGTTGGGGCAGGGGGCGTGGGTATTAACTGGAGAGATTCAAACATGCTAATTAGAGACAGAGTGAGAGATCTATACAATCAGAAGACACCAAGCAACAGGGTAGCCTGCTTTAAAAGATTAAGAAATTACCTCGGCTTAGATATATGACCAAAAAGAGCGTGTCTTTGTATTAGGGGGAAGTTGGCCACTCATTGAACGAGCTGTTATTTAACTGACTGAATTTAACTGTGCACTGAAACATCTCAAAATTGTTTACACATCTCTCTTACACCATTTGCTCACTTGTTAAAAGGCTCTATAACCTCACACTGTCATTGTGTGACCAAACCTTTTGTAGAGTATTTTCAACCAATCCTCAACACTTAAAATTTTTAAGTAAGTCTATGATCTTTTTGGTAAGTTCATACATACTACGTGATATTGCTTGTAAAGAAGGTCAGAAGACAGCTAAGCACTTAACATTTTCTCAGCCTAATAAAGCAGCATGGTGGTTCTTAACTTCAAGCTTTCACAGTGAGGATTCCTAAAACATGAGTTAACTAAAGAAAAAAAAAAATGTTGGAAGGGTATACCTTTGTCACAACCCTCTGAAGTACCATACAAGATGTGAACAGACATCTGTTCACTGCTTCCATTCAGATTTATTGTCATGCCTCCATTTTTTGTTCTTCAGTAATGCAATAGTGGGAGGTGTGATCACTTTGTCTAGCCAGCCAGACATAGCAGAGAATCATAGAACCATTAAGGTTGGAAAAGACCTCTAAGACCATGAAGTCCGACCGTCAACCCAACACCACCATGCCTACTAATCCATGTCCCTAAGTGCCACATCTACACATCTTTTCGTCATCTCCAGGGATGGGGACTCAACAACCTCCCTGGGCAGCCTGTTCCAATGCCTGACCACTCTTTCAGTAAAGAAAGAGTGATTTTTCCTCATATCCAGTCTAAATCTCCCCTGACGCAACTTCAGGCCATTGCCTATCGTCCTGTCACTAGTTACTTGGAAGAAGAGACCTGCCTCACTACAACCTCCTTTCAGGTAGTTGTGGAGAGCAAGAAGGCCCTCCCTCAGCCTCCTCTTCTCCAGACTATACAGCCCCAGCTCCTTCAGCCGCCACTCCCCAGACTTGCTCTCTAGGCCCTTCACCAGCTTTGTTGCCCTTCTCTGAACACGCTCCAGCACCTCAATGTCCTTCTTGTAATGAGAGGGGCCCAAAACTGAACACAGTACTCGAGGTGCAGCCTCACCAGTGCCGAGTACAGGGGCATGATCACCTCCCTACTCCTGCTGGCCACACTATTCCTGACACAAGCCAGGATGCTGTTGGCCTTCTTGGCCACCTGGGCACACTGCTGGCTCATGTTCAGCTGGCTGTCGACCAGCACCCCCAGGTCCTTTTCCTATGGGCAGCTTTCCAGCGACTCCTCCCCAAGCCTATAATGTTGCATGGGGTGGTTGTGACCCAAGTGCAGGACCCGATACTTGGCCTTGTTGAACCTCATACAGTTGGCCTCAGCCCACCAATGCAGTCTGTCCAGATCCGTCTGCAGAGCCTTCCTACCCTCAAGCAGATCGACACTCCCACCCAGCTTGGTGTCATCTGCAAACTTCCTGAGGGAGCACTCAATCCTCTCCTCCAGACAACTGATAAAGACTCTCACAGCTGTTGGTGTCAAGAGACATAACTATGTTTTAAGGTTTTGCTTTGATGAAGCACAGATTTTGGTAATTTTAGAGATGGCTTGTTGATTAACTGCTTATTTTTACTATAATTTGATTTGATAAACTGCACCCACAGGCAGAGTTTCAAGAAAAATTAACAATTGCCTACTGATAAAAGAGGATGCAAGGTATTGTAATTCCTCAAAACAGCTTTTATCTTCAAGACTGGTTCATACATCACTCTGATTTGCAAGATATTTATTTAAAATAAATCAAAACTTATTTCGCTCTTCATAATGCAGGTCTGCTTTGAATCTTGTTATTTACATCTCTACTGACTAATTACAATGTTCCTTGGAAATGCCGGAGAACCAACAAGATTTTTTAGAACAATTTTTGAATCCACGGAAATTTATGGAAAAAAGTTTCATTCAATGAACAGCTGCCCTAAGTTATAAAAAACACACCGTAAAAAAAAATTTGTTAATGAAAATATACAGTGTAATAAAAGTTTGTGTTTGTGCTGTCTTTAAGCAATGGTCTTCAGTTCTAGACTGACAATATTACCGATTTAACTTTTCTTACAAGATATAACCAGAAACTTTCATAGGTTTCTGTCTCTTGTCAAGCTGCCCACAAAAGCACAAGGCAATCTCACTTGCCTCTCAGAAATATTTCCATCATTCAAAGTTTCAACAGCAGATGATGTGAATAAAGCCATCAGGGCAACACAGCTGGTGATAGGGCTGGAAGGCATGGCCCGTGAGGAGCGGCTGAGGACTCGGGGCTTGTCTAGTTTGGAGAAAAGGAGGCTGAGGGGCAACCTCATTGCTCTCTACAGCTTCCTGAGGAGGGGATGTGTAGAGGAAGGTGCTGATCTCTTCTCCCCAGGATCCAGTGACAGGACGTGTGGAAATACCTCAAAGCTGCGCCAGGGGAGGTTCAGCCTGGACATTAGGAAGCATTTCCTTACCAAGAGGGTGTCAGACCCTGGGAACAGGCTTCCTACAGTGGTGGTTGATGCCCCAAGTCTGTTGGTGCTCAAGACGCTTTTGGACAACGCCCTTAATAACATGCTTTAACTTGGCCAGCCCTGCTTTGGTCAGGCAGCTGGACTAGGTGATCCTTGTAGGTCCCTTCCAACTGCAACAGTCTTCCATTCTATTCCATTCTCCTACCCATACAGTATATGTAGGAGACTAAGTAACATTTGGAAGGTAACATCGCAGTATGCAATCACTGCTTTAGTTCAAATAGTTAAAGATCTTGCTTCTACCAGTATCAAAATCATAGTTTTTCGGAGATAATGAATGAGACTTAACCACAGTCTTCCCAAAAAGGTAAGTTAATTTAATCCGCACATCTTTAAATCAGACACTGAAGTATGGGGTCTTGTATCCTTTATGGAAATCATGATACTTAACGTAAGTATATATGGTCATATTGAACAGATAAATTACCCTTTGCCAAACTTTAATAGGATGATACATTAATTAGTAGGTATTCATACACTACTATGTTTTTAACGTGTTGGTCTAAAAATAACTGAATAACTTAATATTCTCTTATCATAGGAAATCTTGGAATATGCAGTATTTACTTTTTATACTACAGTTCTTATATTTATCTCATACTAATTCCAATCATGTGACACTGTTAATTGGAGGCTAAAAAAACAATAAAAAAACCAAAACATAACCAAACAAAGCCCCATATCCAGCTTACAACATTTTGAAAAGTATAACAGACATCAGTTAGAAATAGTTCTGTATAATCTCGATTTTATAAGATCAAGCTAAACAGGAATTGCATTTCATAACATCACAAAGTTCTACCTTGTTTTTTAATTACCTTAACCACACATGTATAAAACTTTACTTCTTCCTGTCTTCCAAATGTTTGTCAGAATTTAGGTCTACAACCAATAACTAGATCTCAAAATGCAGGAAAAAATTACCTATCCAAGGTAAGTTGGATAGGTTTTTGGGAAAGGAAATTCCAAGCTCAAGTTTTGGGGAAAGGAAATATCAGAGCCTGAGGAACAATCAAAACTTCTAATTCAAAGAATAAAAGCACAATTCGTATTTTTTTAAACATTACTCACCAGTCATAGAAATGTAAAACACTTACCCTCTTTGCTTATCTCTGCAATTGTAACCCATTCCAAGGTAATATGAAATCCACTTCCTTTTGTGTCCAATTCATCTTTTTCTACCCTAAGCAGCAGCACAGCTACTGAATGCACATCAGATTTTACAAATGAAACACTGTGTGCTATAATAAATGGACTTCCTAGTTCTTCATTAAACACAATCTAGAAGACAAAATTGTAGTAGAAAGTCAGTCAGCTAAAACTGAAAGTCTTGCTGTTTCTCAGAAAGCAGTGAAAGGCTTCACTGAATGTCCAATCAGTTAAAGTTTGCTTCCCACAAACCCCTCTGCCAGTATGAATCCATGAATCTCATATGTTTCTGGTGCCTCCTTCCCTCTCTATCAAGCCACTGTTTTGAAATGCTTTTAATTATTATTGTTTATATTATAAAACCATTATAAGGGCCCATTAAACAAAGCACAAAGATCCACAAAACTGTCTGCATTATGTCTGCTTACTACTACAATAAGTAGAGGTGCAACACGTGATGAACAGAGTAAGATACATAAACACAGCATATCAGCTGGGGGAAATAGTCTCACACCCAAGGTGAAAATGCAGGCATTTCACCAAGTCCCTCGCTGCTCCTTGAGACACCCCAACATCCTGAAAAACTTTGTAGACCTCAACGTGCAAACAAGAAGGTAAAAAGGTCCAGTGCATCGCTGCTAGTGTTTAATCATCAACGAGTACTGGAGGGGTCGGTGTCTCTTTATTTAGCTACTATCTTTACAGAGAGATTAAATTTTCTTTCTCTATGAAGTTTCATGAAGGGGAGTAAGAAACAAAACCCTATATTTAAACAAAGGACTATGCTATTTATGTTTAGGAGGAGTTAGGGTTAGAAGTTTCTGAATTTTTATGTATAGGGTTTGGAAAAGTCCAATATTTGGATGGGACTAGGCAGGCAGAGCACGTAAATATTAATGTCATATCGAAAGGCAAGTAAGCACCACTGTAAACAAGAAATAATTTCATACAGAAGACTGCATGTCTTGTAGCTTGAGACATTTAGCATTTGGTACCTATAGTTGGAAGCTTTAATTCTAGAAACTATGTATTTCAGCTTTTCTCAACAAAGTACTCATTCAGTAAAAATCCTGAAAAGATAAAACCAAAATGAATCCAAACAGCACAGAAGAAGAAATGAAACATTCTTTATTTGCTAGAACATATAAAAATGAAAGAATAAATGACAAGAAATTCAAGCTTAGTGGCTGAAAGAGTATAGGCTCCATCTAGCTGTTGTTACTGAAACCTGATAAAGTTTGAGGATTTATGGAGTTGGGATGTTAACATCACTGTAAACCACTGAGTGCTCTAAATATTCAAAACTTGAATTTAAATGGTGACAGAACCTCAACATATAAATCTCATGTTTTAGTTACACTGACAACTCCAATGCAACTTATTTATGTATCAGCATTCTCACACAGAACAGAAAAAAAATCAGTTGGTATTTATCACCAACTGTCTAAGAACAGGATGACCAATTTCGTAGTGAACTCTCAAAAGATGCAGGGGAAGAAGCTAATCTATTATGCTGAAATCTTCACTTCAGGACATATAAGTTCCTGACAACACTAAAATCTCCTTGATTGCTTAGGAAACTGCCCTCTAATAAAGAAAATAGATGCAAAGTGTGGGTGCTTCATACCACACTCATCTCTCATGAATACAGAGGAACTAACCACAGACAAGACTCACAGTAGTTCAGGTAGAAATGTAACTTAATTATATTTGTTGTGTCCAATCAGGATAACCAATACCATTAGTAGTGTAGTAAGATCACTTGGACATGGATACAAAAAATGCTCCTCATCATGACTCTTTAAAATGATCAATTATGTAAAGAATTTAATCACGAGGAACATAAAAACATACTTCAATTACAAGTAACAATTTAAAGTAAAAATATTAAGCACCAATAATTTTCCAGAGCTAAGTGCAGAGTATGAAAACTTTCCTTAGCAGAGAGGTGGAAGTAATATTGCTTATATTACACCTGCTTTGCAGGTAACCCTTAGGGTTACACTTATGAAAGCTTTTTAATTAGCAGTTTTGTTTAAGTTTTGTTTTAGTCTCTGTGGATGTATTTTTAAGATGGGGCAAATCAAATGGTGAATATTTCGAGCAAATTACATCCGCACAGACAAACATCACACAAACCTCCTAACTTAAAAAAACAAAGTAGCTTTTAGCATGGTTGACAAGCTTTTCAGACTTTTTAAAGAAATCTCTATCATTCCACTAGCCATTTGAAACAGCAAACAATAAAAGACAGGGAGGCAAAATCCTGGACAGACAGATACGAATAGGGAAGTGAAAGAGAAAATGATTTTTAGAAAAAGTTCAGCTAGACAAGCACTTAGCCACCTATTTAGAAACACTTTTACTCAGACAGATTCTTCTTCAGTCAAAAGGCTGTTCCCTTTCCAACACTTGAATTTTAGGTATTTTGTACATAAAGAAATAATTAGTTTAGTCATTAGCAAAAAAATACCCCAATGATTTTTACACTTAAATACAATACTGTATCAGTGATACAGAGTTATGATTTACAGCTTAATTCTTCACAGCATTACATACACGCAAGTCTCATGAGAAATGCAGTAAGAATTATTTGGTAGATGTACAGTTCTTAAAAATATTATTGCAAGACTTACCTCCCACTTTTCAGATGCACTGTTTCCACGCTTGCCTGATTTAATTAAATACAGTCTTCCTGTACCATCAGAAAGGATAACCCATGTGGAAGACGAGAAGTGAATTGAGGCACAAAGGCGATTATCATAAGCTGTCAAGTCTGTAGGTAGCCTGAAAACTTCTCTTGGTTTTTGTAGAGCAGTGTCCTATAAGCAGTCACACACCAAGACTTTATGAAGTATTTAACAATTTCAGTATTACAGACAAACGAAGAATAACAAATCTCAGTAGCAATTCACCAGTTTCTTTGTGCAGTTCAGCATATTTGGGAAAAAGTGGGTAGCAAGCATATGTGGAAAAGGCGGTGGAATTTCATCGAGTCAGTTTCTATTCACTGAAAACATGAGTGTTCTATAACTGATATTTCAGCACACAATTTTTTTCCTTCCATTTTACAGTGCTAATTACATTTTGCATTAAAAAAAGGCTTTTCACTTCTTTTCCCCTGGCATTCCCACATAATTAATCACTTACCTCACATAATTCTAGTCCCAGTAAAAATTTGAAGACTTTAAAAGAAATGAAAGCCACAGAACTGTACTCAAACTAGTTCATAAAAACTCACTTCTAAACTAAAAAGAATTTTAGCCTATTCTCTTACACAGCTGGTATATTCATGCCGACTTCTCAGTTTTCCTAGAGTGGCCATGTTACTCAGTAAGTTTGAGAAGTAACAACTGTGATTAGTTAGCAAAGAAAAGCTGTACTAAGTCATACCATATTTGCAAATAACTTTTCCATCACATCACGATTATACTATGCATCAGGATGAATTTATTTAGCTAACTGTATCAGTGGCACACTGCAATCTTATTTTTTAAGCCAAACTACAAGCATCATAGTTTTTGAGCACAAATAAACAGAGACATTAAAGTGATCAAAGTGCACAAACAATACAATTCTCCAGTGAACGACACATCAATTTTTACAAAACTATACCTATCACTAAATTTTACAAAAAAAACCCAAACAAACCAACCACCAAAAAATTTGGTCCATCCATCCAGTATTTCCTGCTGTATAAATTTTACATAAATCAGCCTCATTGATTAATAATGCAAAATTAACGTTAGATTACCAATTTCATCTATATTTCTAGTAATTGTTCTCAAAAGTTCTGCTTTAGTTCTGTGTTGCCTTCTTAATTTCCAGCTAATTCTAACAGAAGAAACTGCTTTCGTGCTGTAAATTGGATTTCCAACTCATGTCATTACGTACAAAGGCATGTCTTCCAGGATATCCTCTAGGGATTATTCCTCATCTTGTGCCTTCACTCTCACATACTCACTGTCTTTGCTGAATAAGGCTTTGTAACTCTCTGCTTATTTGGCTAGCAGAATGCCAGCAACACCATTGTCTGCTTTGGACTACGATTTACCTCCCTTTGGTGAGCTGAAGGAATCTCTGAATATCTAAGAGGCTTGTTAAAAAAAAAAAAAACAAAACAAAACACACCACGTGACCAAACCTTTATGATTTGAAAAGAACTTGGCATCACAGTTTAATAAAAGGTCAGGACATGCTTTATCAGAAATACAGCTTGATCAGCTACTTATGAAGTAGATCAGGCTGCAGTATTAAGAGCACAAACAAAATATTCTTACAGAAAAACATTAAATGAAGACTGGAGATTCAGCAACATCACAGTCACATATATATAATCTTTCAAATAACTGAAATAGAACTTAATTGCTTCAAGTCTTTCAACTGAAATAAGCAGCTGCTAAATAAAACCAGCTGGTGGTCTGTCATGAGTGGGGTCCCCCAGGGACTGATACCATGCCCCACGCTGTTCACCATCTTCATAAATTACCTGGATGATGGGATTGAAAGCACCCTCACCACATTTGCTGCTGACACTAAACTACATGATCAGGTAGACATGTCATAAGGGAGAGCCATCTTGCACAGAGACACAGACAGCCTGGAAGAGCAGGGTAGCAAGAACATTGTGAAGACACAAAAAACCAAGCGCAAGGTCCTGCACCTGGGAAGGAATAACCCAAGAGCTCAGTACAGGCTAGGAACTGTGTGGCTGGGGGGCAGCCTTGCTGAAAGGGACCTGGGAGTCCTGGCGGACAACAAGCTGACCATAAGTCAGCAGTGCAATGCTGCAGTAACAAAGGCAGATTGGACCCCGGGCTGCATCTGCAGGACCATTACTAGCAGAGATAGAGACATGATCGTCCCTCTCTGCTCGGTGCTTGTCAGGCCACACCTGGAGCACTGCATCCATTTCCAGTCCCCACAAGTGAAAAAAAGACATGGACAGACTGGAAAGGGCCCAAAGGAAGGCCATGAAGATGACCAAAGGGCTGGAGAACCTGCTCTGTGGGGTGACTGAAGGAGTTAGGACTGTCTCCCTGGAGAAAATTCAGAGGGGACCTCACCACAGTACTCCAGTACTCAAAGGACGGCTAAAAGGAGGACAGACGCTCTGTCTTCACAAGAATTGACATGGAGAAGACATGGGGCAATGGGTAAAAGTTTGTCCTGGTTTTGGTTAAAACACATTGGATCCTCCTTTATGAATCTTCCTTACAGCCAAGTTCCCCTAAGTAACTGCATTTTTCTGAAGCTGGCTGCATATTTCACAGTGTCCTCTCCAAAGCTGGTAACACCTGATGTTTATAGTTGTACTGAGCTAACGGTAGGAATGGAAGGCAGAAAAAGGCCCCTGCTTATAATTATTACTATAGCAACCACGGTCACTGACAGATCTCTTAGGTCCTGCATGTGAGATGTCATAAAGGGTCACACTTGCCAGGAAGGGCAGACAGAACAGGTGACCCAATATTGACCAACGCGGTATTCCATGCCATGCACGTCATACTCAGGTTAAAGCTGGGGGATCACGAGGGTCTTGCTCTCTTCGTCCATGGCTGGCTTCTGAAGAGGACCCTGCTCCTTGTCCCGCCTGTGATCCTGATCCAGATCCAGATCCGTGCATTCCTGCCAGTGCCGGTCTGTTGCTGAGGCCAGTCCGTGACTTCCTGCTGCTTCCTGGCAGCTGTTGGTGGGACACCAGAGCCCGGCACCCAACTCCGGGAAACTCAGCATCGGTTTTGTATATTTTGCATTATTTTCTTATTATTAATATTATTAGTGATATTAGTAAAGCTGTTTTAATATTAAATTTGTAAGTCTCTCTCCCATTTCCTTCTTTTCCCTTCCCGTGGTGGGGGGCTGGGGTTAACAGAGAGTATCTGCCATTCCGTTTATTGCCGCCCTGCTCCAAACGGTGACACCAAGTTGCACCAGGAGAGGTTTCATCTTGACATAAGTGAATTTTTTACAGTGAACAACCTCTCCCAGGACATGGCAGAGTCCCCATCTCTGGAGGCTTTCAAGACACAATTCGACAGTGCTAATCTTGTCTAGGCTCCTTTTCCCAGCAAAGTTTGGGCCATATGATCTTTTGAGGTCCCCTCCAACCTGGGCTGTTCTATGATTCTAAAACAAACAGTAGACACTAACAATATACTTAAATATATATATATATATTCACCACCTTGCCCCTTATAATGATCATAGATTTCAGGATCTAATGACTCCAAAAAGGTCTTCCAGTAACAATAAAACCAATTCCTGTTGTTTCTGTTCTGTATCTTAAAGAAACATTTCTCATGAAGTTATGGTCCTTCCCCCTCATGTCACAGTTACATATAGATATCTTATAAAAGAAAAAAAATTAGATACCATAGTTTTCATAGATATTTTGCAGGCTAGTGTACCTATATTTTTGAATAAATAAACAATTGTCACTGGGAAAAAAGGTGTCTGATTGGTCTTCACACATCAACATTTCCCTTTTTAAACCAAATCTATCTTCTTAATTCAAGAACAGATAAAATATATTAAGAACATAACTAATGGTCATAGAGCCAATTAAACTATTTTCAGTTTTATTTTACTAGGCTCATTTCCAGTCAGTTGACCTACAATTATTTTAGAAACTCTGCAAATCAGAAAACTCTGCTTAATGATAAGGAAATTCTTCCTTTGTTACTAACAATCAGCATTAGTGTCACTAAAATGAAAATATATTTAAGTAGAAATACATTTTAAAAAATAGAAAAACAGAATTTGAAAGAACAACATTACAGGGACCATTTTGAAGATATTTACAAGTATGTAAAAGGAAACACAAACAAACAGAAACACATTATTGTACTGAAAACCTGGGAGTGGGAAGCAAGTAACTATTCTATGCCACACAAAATGCACTCTCTTACTATAGTAAGGGTGGGCATGAGATTAAGAAATAGTAGTGAAAAAGTATCAGATTAAAAAAGCATTTCATTACAAGTCCTGAAATTTCAGCCACAAATTATTTTAATATTTTCTAAGCATCTCCTGTCCCTCTGTTTTCACTCAAGCAATGGGTAGCCTGGGGAGGAAATCTTCTATATACATATCCACTTCTAGTAAAAGAAACTCACCCATTCTGCCCTATGAAATAAGGCAGTCAAGAATATATGTACAAAGCACCATCTTTAGAAGAGTTCTTTGCACCTGTGCACGTGTATGCAATACAGAAAGAGCACATTTGTGCATGCAAAGCATGCCACGGTCTCATTTGTCGAGAATCCTGTATTTGAGGGGATTTAAAATCCTTCATATTTTCCAGATGTTATTAAAATCAGGTGCGCATTCAGAACATGTTCAAAGGTATGCAAGACAAATTGGATTTGGATAAGTACCATTTTAATAAGCAACAGCAGAAAAGACCAGATGACACACAGCCTGCCTGCCTGCCTTTTGGGCCTGCTTGAATTCGTATTAGAGAATACTGTGTACTACAAAAAGGCACGGGGGTTGTAAAGGAACCTGCAATGAAAAAGATGCAAATTTTATTTTTAATTACTGGAAGCATTCAAGGGCCACTTCGTAGATTCAGTTGCATCACTATGCCCCTTGAACTATTCTGCTAATTTATAACACATTCAGGAGGGGAGAATGAGTTAAAAAAACAAACCAAACCAACCCAACCAGCCAAAACCCCAAAAACCAAATCCACAACCTAAACAAACCAAACAAAAATCCCCCAAACACTAGGAACAAAGATTTTTGGCTTCCTCATCTTTTACTTAATTTTAAGATTTAAGAAAGGTAGCGTTTTCTACAATAAAAGCATTCCATTGTA